GGCCCGCAGAGGCCCCAAGCTATGAGGGGAAGAAATTACGCTAAATGGGCTGTGAGACAGCTTCTGGAGGAAAGTCACTGTCCCTGGCAGTAAAACCCTTACTCCAGCATTACCACCATTCAAGGTGAATCTTTCCTGGATTTTGAAGGGATGGACAAACATTCCATGACCCACATGCTGCCCATGGAACCCCTGGTGGCAGCTCACCCTAACATTGCTCAGGGTGTGGGAGAATTGCCTGTCACTGATTTTGATCGCCCCTCACTGGCCATGCACTGGCTGGTGAACCTACTCTCCCAGGCGCGCGGACAGATTTTTCACCCTCATCCAGAGGGGTTCACCCTGTGGGTTTGGCCCTTCAGTGGTTTAATCTGAGCCTCGCTGGATTATCACTGAGTGTTGTTAAAACAATTCAGAATGGCAGAGCATCATCCCCTAGGTCTCTCTATGACTGTAAGTGGAGAGTGTTTAAAAGCTTTTTCCCTCTGAAGTTCTCAAATGCTTTAGTGATCCAGTACCTCAAATCAAAGAGTGAAACAAACTCTCACAATATATCTAATGTCCCTGTACACATATAACTGTTTATAATGTATTTTACTCAAGCTTGGATTTCTCCTTACACAGCTGATTCAGTATAAATGATCTAATGATTTCATAGAGCTTAATAAAATATTATAATAATCTGTGAAACGAGGACTTCTACTTTAAAACTTTAACTACATTTAACTTGTCTATATCTAACTGTGTCAGGTCTCATTAAAAATTTCAGCCCAGAAACATCAGCAAAATGGTACAAAATCTTTTTGAGATTAAATGTGCCCCTGAAAATATTTATAATGTGACCAGTTATGCACACTGGACTATGTAAACAGGAAGTAGATTGTCAATGAGGAACAGCGATTCAGTTGCGAAGTGACGTACCGGTGAAAGTGGTGACTGAAAATGCTTTGGGGCTAAAGAAAACATTTTCAGAACTACAACCCAGGCAATACCCATGCCCTCTGCCCCGGACTCTTCATCCTTGTCATCATCTCCCCTCACCTAAGTACAGCTCTCTGCTGCTTGAGTCTGTATACAGAGAAAATATGTTTCTTGCTAATGCTATCAGACATGTACTAGTCTGTTTGCTAGCATTCAGGTAATTCAGCTACCTATTATGAGTAATAAAGCACTACCACAACAAGGTAACATGAGAGGAGTATTCAGTTGCAATATAAGCACTTAACCTTTAAACAATGAAAAAAGAAAAAGAAGCAGAATTCTCCACCTAAATAATGAGCATCACAGATGACGTGTCCAGAAAACGTTGGCAGATGTACTAACACTACTTTGAACCTGAGTCAATCTGTGACAACCAGGAAAGATAGCAACCGGGGCAGAGCGGACTGGCAACCCAATCTGTGTCTTTTGTGAGGAGGACTCCCACTATTTGTGCAGGGTTGTTCAGTCTTGGAGAAACTGTTGTAGCATAAGACTAAAGAAAAGATTTGAAACTAAGTCTTGTCAAGTTTGACTCTATTAATTCCAGATTAAGAAGCATTACATCTGTTGGGAAATATCAGGCTAATTCAACAAACAAAACAAGTCTAACTGGAAACAAAATCACAATTCTGAAACTAGCTGCAAAAACAGTTTATATGTTCAAACTCCACTGCAGAATTCAAAACAGAATAGAGGTTCCATGGGTTGAAACAAAATGACAGCTCTTCGTGACGGGCTTCCCATGAATTCAATCTAATCACCTTATCACTTCTTTTCCCAAGCTTTACCTCAGTGTTAAAGTACTGAGTGATTAGTGCCCACCTCATTAGATATTTGTTATTATATACATTTGTGACATCAATGGCTCTTTCTCAATTCAGTACCTCATCAGATGCCCAGTGAACTCTTAAAAGCATTAACAAACTGAATGGCTTTCACATCGCTGGCTTCCAATTCCAAAGACAGGTCATAAACATCTGAAGCTGCAAGCGCAGGAGAACTAGGCAAGAGTAATTTGGCACAATCAAAAGCATGCTGGCAATCCTCATTTATAGACAAATATGGCTGATTTGGACAACATAGAGAAGAGCAACAACTTGAGATATTATTATCTAGTAACAAATTATTCTGAGGAATCTGTGCAATCCATGCCTGTGGGCCCAGGGAAAGTAAGAATAGATGTTACCGAAAGATCAATGGGACATATCTGTGCTTGTCCAACCTCCCAAGGAAAGGAACTGTGGCCTGGCCGAATCCACACTTGGTAAATGTTTTTGTTCAATTGTTAATTTGGTTGCAATTAAAAGTCTCATTACAAATTCAGTAGCAGAATAAAAAAAGGGGGAAAAAAGACAACAAAGAAAAAAATCAAAATTCAAACAATGAAAATTTGATCATACTTTCCTAATAAGTTACTGGGTTTGTAAAAAAAAAATCCATCCAACTCCATTTAATTCTCCATTATTATGTCACATACAGTTACTAAAATCTGTACATTCTTCCTTGGAATGTGTGTTCAATTAATCAATCAAACACATTTTATCTGTATAGCCCATATTCATAAATCACAATTTGTCTCATATCATCCTCTGTCCTTATTCCTCAACAAGAGTAAGGAAAAACTACCAAAAAACCCTTTTAACAGGGAAAAAAGTACGTAGAAACCTCAGAGAGAGCCACATGTGAGGGATCCCTCTCCCAGAAGTGCAATAGATGCCACATGTAATGGAGAACATCCGAAAAATAAGAGTATTTAGAGCATTGGTTAGCATAAACAGTTTGTAGCATGATGGAAGGTAAATTAATTGAAGAATTATTGTCATTGTTGTCATTAAGCTGATGTCCATTTGTCCATAATAATAATGATAATAATAATAATAAAACGGTTGTTTATCATTTTGATTATTGCCTCTGATCAAGAACACAATGTTACTACAGTGAAAGCAGATATAATCACACTCAACAATCAGGTGTGTCCTCATTAAAATCCAGAACCAAATTGAGGTATACACAGTGCCATAGCAGCAGCAGGCCAAACACCACTACTCAGTGACTCTTAAGTTATAATAATAGCAATGTCTGAGGCTGTAACAAATATGGATGATTTTATTGTTTTATTTATTGACTGCAGAAGAAAATACAGAGGAAAAGGATTTGCCAAGATATATAAACATCATATACTACTGTTCCCTAACATCTATAACATATGGAATAATGCTTCACATTGTGTTTATTCTGATAATATCTGTGTTCACCACAGCCTATGTGCACTGACAGTAACCACATGTAGACAAACACTGCCCTCAGCTGATCACTTCTTGTAAAGCATGCTGTCATTCAACCTGACCAAGAGGACATTCTCTGATGAATGTCAATAAACTTCACCCAGATTATGCAAATGAGCCTTTTAATTCCGAGCATTCGTCAGATTCTTGTGTCTAATTTTTTTCTCATACTGTGCTTCTTTCATGTGTCCAAATATCTAGTTGCATTTTGACTGAAAAATTGTACCCATGACAGAAGCATAGGGATATACATGCTATTATTATTTGCTATTACAAGAAATATATGCTATTGGTTTGATTTAATAAAAACAGTTTTTTAATAGTGTGTGCAATTTTTGTACAGCTTGATTTGATTTAAATTGAGTATCAGGCCATGGCATTGGTGCAATAGTAGCTGTTGTAGAGAAATGCAGTTCTAAGATCCGATTCACCAAATCATGTGTATTGGGTTTCTTTATTTTTTAGCTCCTTGTATTATCATTTGACTGTGTGCACTGCATTTCAGTGGTGAAAATGTACATTTAGTGCTGTACTTTACTTGTCAAATATGTTTTCTCAACTATATTTGACCAACAGATGAAGCTTCATAAGAAAATACAATTCTATAGAAAACAACAAATGTTTAAGATTAAACCAGTGTTTCACAATCTATTGGGCTCTTAGAATAACCTCTTTCAAAACAAGTGTATAGTTGTGTGCACTTTGATTTTTTTAGACTTTTAAATTCAATATTATTTATTATTTATTTGATAATTTGCTTACTTTGCCATCTCATCAAACAACCCAGTCAAATGTATCTGGTGACCGCTGAAGTTGCAGCCTTTTCTGAATGAATGCAACAAAACACATTCTTCATTTCATTATCCACACTGGGACACAAGTACCCCATAAAAGTTGTATATTTAGTACATATTAGAGTTTCACTTGTTTTATTAACTTCTGACAGCATTTATCACCTGATTATTTTTGGACGACCACTTGAGCCCTCAGCCATGGCCGCCCCAGTGAGGGAACATTTTTGGATCTGGTTATTCATTAGTGTCCTGTTGTCCATGTTAGCTTGCAGTGGAGTGTGTGTGGTGTTGTGATGTGGGACAACACCTTTCTAACAACATTTATGTTAGTTTTCATTTCACCCATCTGCATTGTCATCATTAAAAATATTAATTATTACTGAAACAAGTTCTTATATATAACAACAAATTGATTTATTTTTAGAACTGCATTACTAAAAACAAAAAATAATCAAGCCACACCCATGACCTTTATGCCAACATGTAACACAAAACACAACTTTGACTTCAGATAATTCACAAATGCTATTAGGTTTGATCATTTCAGTATAAGAACTAACCCTCACATTTTCCGAACAACGCCTTTATTTTGCCCTTAACAACAGCATCTCATCTACAAAAAATGTCTGAGGTACACATAAATAGATACACAGTCCTGTCGAACAAACAAGCTGTAGATAAACTACATTCACATCATTATTCTCCCACACTTAAATTATTCTGTTGGCTCAGCCATGCCTCTTAGTGTTTTGATACAGATGATTATGATTATATTTGAACCGAAATGTTCTAACTAAAATATAACCTTTATCACAGGCCACTATTGGACCAAAATAAAAATTTAAGACGAGGGTGTAAGTCAAGAAAAATAAATCTTCTTCTGATTGAAATTGTAATTGGGCTAGACCTGCTTCCAGTTTCTCCAGTTGAATTTGGTTCAGTATAAAGGCATTCATGGACAAGGTTGATATTCACAAATTTAATGAAATTATAAAAATTGAACAAATTTCATGGTGACATTATGGGGAAAATTTATCTGCAGTCCAAATTTTAAATGAAGTATTCACATCTTGCTAACCATTGTACAATTACTTTTCGATTACAAAAGCAAAGTTATTGTTATCGCTTCTCTGCCTTTTGGCTAAGATCACTTGAATTTCCTTCGGGATCAAAAAAGTATCTATCTATCTATCTACATTTCAAAATATATGACATGGACCTACTCTTGTCAAAAAAGTATTCATTAATAATCACAGAGGGCATGCAGATTGTTTAATTTAAACTCCTATTCTTCTGAAGTGTAGAGAACAGGAAATGTCAGACTAAAGGACTAAGTTATTGATTTATTGATATTGAAACCACATTTAATGTGTAAATTACAAGGCTGAAAAGGTTGGTGGTTCTTAGGGTTAGGATAAAAGTCCATCAAGTGAAAAATGTTATAAACCCAAACCCATTTACTAATTCCCCTTTGAACATAATCACACTAATTCGCTCTTTCCTTATAAACATGCACATCATGTTATTTCAAACTCAAATAACAAACAGAAATGTTCATTTCCCTCACATCGTCCAGTAAGGCATTACCAGCAGTTGCATCGCTCATGTAGATGTTTCTCTCCTTCACACAGTCATGAGCAGGAGGAACCTTTCATACTCCTACATTAGTCACTCAGGACCAGACACCTCTGATTTTCAGACTGCTTCAGCAGTGCTTCGTTTTACATTAGTAACAGCTAGTTTTCTTACACTGATAGTTGACATTTGCAGTAGATCTTCAAGTCTGGGTGCTTTATATACTTTTCCAAATTTTACTGTCAGTGTTTGACACTTTTGTTGTCCCATCTCGACTCTATAACCACATTTGAGCATTATCCAGGACAGCAGTTAGCAATCAGGCAAAATCATAGGCTTCCATCCCATTCCTTCAGATGCAGCCCTACATGCTACATCCACATCTACTTTGGTCATTTTTCAGACATAACTGCTGTCTGTGGCTGAGCCAAGACATCTGGTGGATCCTGTGAATGGATCAGGACTCTGGTTCGTCTGAATGTTTGATTTCAGACTCATCGCTCTTGTGGTGAGACAGGGGCTGGATGTTGGTCTGTATTGGGGCTGACAGCTGCTGTGGATCAGTCACAGACTTGGACAGACCTTGAGGTTTTCCTGGCTGAAGTTGGAAAACTGGCAGCTCTGGTTCTTGCTTTTCTTGGACGTTTGACTCTGATGAATCAGCTGTTTGTTGAGACCGGTTATGATTCCCTGATGTATCTTGTGGTTGCTTTGACAGGATGCAGGACTCTGAGGGATCTGATGGTAGACAATGTGAATCTAGTTGCAACTGTCTCTGCAGTTCCTCAGCACTGTGGGCTAACATGATGCTCACCTTCCTCTGGTGAGCCAAGGCCTCATCCTTGTCATTCAGCTAGAAGAGTAAACAACCAGCAGTAATTAAGGAGAAAAATGCTTTTCTCTGGGGAAATAATCTAATCATCAATGACCTCTCACAGGATGACCGTATAAGAGCATTAGATTATTCCACAAACCAACTTTACTGCTGAACAGCAATGGTGAGTGTACGAGGGTTTAGACCAGAAAATAACATTAATGAATTCAGGATGCTTTACAGTAGTTTCACTTACAGATGAGCACAGAAACAAAACAATATATCAATATACAATATTATGTATTATTGTATCATGCAAAAGCACTTACAAGCTATGTTTTCTCTCTTACTGCGTGACAAATCCAGCAGTAGAGACATGAGAGAGACATTATTTCTTTATGAGGAATCCTATTACCATGTTTCTCATGCATCCTTGAGCTTGATATTGTACATTCCAGTGTGTGTGTTTGTCTGTGTTTTCTTTATGTATGCCCTTCTTTCACAAATAAAAAAGCAACTGTTGATAAAACTGTGTCTGTAACATAGACTGTAGGTCTATACAGTTAATTGACACCCAGGGGCGGCTGGACAATAGGGGGCGATAGGGCGCCGCCCTCCCAAAGAAAGAGTATAATCGTCACTATTATTTTCAAAATGTATTAAATTGTACAAATTCTCAAGACAGTTTGTCCATCCTGCTGTCTCTGGATATAATAGTCCTGACCTGCAAATATGGCTAAAAATTGCCTACACTCACTCTCATAGACTTTCACTTTTTTTCAAACTGAGACAATGTAATGTCTATGACTTCCGGGAGGGAACGCACTAATGTGCTTTCGTCACATGTAAGCTGTGGCACTTGCACCTCGGTCTGTGCCTATCATCTCGCCACTCGAGAGGAGCAGCGCTGCGCATGAACGGCGTCCATTGAACGTGTTCATGTTTTTTGAGAACGATGAACTGAACGAATCAGTTTACACATGATGAAAGTTCATGTTCATAATGCTCAGAGCGTTACACAGTGAGATGAGGAGCGTTACCAGCGTTGACTTTGTTGAAGAACAGTGAAAACACAGAGTTTCTCTGTTCACATCTGCTTCATGTTCAGAGCGGAAGCTGCAGTTGGTTTGTATCGAGCTGGAGATTCTGTTTCCTCCTCCACTCTGACCTGCTCTTACTTTAACTAATAAACACTCATCCATTATCAGGGACCTGATCAGTACATGAAACAGTGTTTGTTTGATTCCAGAGTTTATGAGACTGCATTTGAACATCATAAAAAATGACTCGTCAACATTTTGTGCTCAGTACAAAACGAGACCTGACATGACCAGCAGGACTAATTGTTAAAGTGACCAGAGCGACACAAATACATGGATTTACCCATTAAACAGGTAACCATAGCCATCATCGCAACAATGACAAACCTGAGAAATTTGGCAGGAGCTACCACTGTTGACACCGATAACCATGTGGGTCTGATACAAATTGAATGCTCGTCAGGCTGATTATTTTTAATACATGAAACAGACCCAGTGATTGGACCAGTGTACAGTGTGGTGGTGGATATGGTCTGAACTTCTCTCTCCACTTCTCTGTTTTCATACTTAATACAACTATTGTCATTATTTCTGTAATAAACGGCTGTGTGACAATGTGCACCATTATTCCAATTGGTACAAATGATAATGGCAAGGGAATCAAAACATATATCATTGCAGAATGAAACTTTGTGGTCACTTTGCCAAGACTAACAGGAGGAAGGTGTCCTCCTTACCCAGTGGTCTGTTGACAAGCCTACCCCTCTCTGTGATGTGATTCAAATTCAGAAAAGGCAGCAGGTAGCTTGTGTGAAATGTTTTAGGAACTAGTTACTTAGAAGCAGTAAATTAACAGCCTTTGTGTTGTGATCTGTAGATAACAGGCCTATAGATTCCATAGGATATACAGTACTAACCAAGTCCAGCAGTCTGTAGAGAGTCTCTAAAAGACCATTGGGTGTCTTCAACTCCAAACTGGAAGGTAGCAGTTCTCTCAACCTCTGGCTTACACTGATTAAAGGACTCCTGTTAACACCTGGGAGGAAAAATCAATCAACAATTATTGATAGCTTAATGGGGAAAACAGAGACATTTGTAAAAATTAAAAAATTGGATTGACAGGTAATATGTATACTCTCATTTAAGAAGCTCTATCTAGTTAATTCACGTTCATTTTAGTGACATACTTAAATTTTATGAATTCAAAATTTGTTTTTAACAACAAGTTCAATGGCAAGTTCCGAACTTATGGCAGCTCCATTCCCTGATTGCTATTGTACAGACTTGGGCTCCAAATATGTAAGATGGCAGTGTTTGTATTTTATAGGATTTAGTGATATCTAGTGGTGAAGTTGCATGTTGCAGCTGAATACCCCTCACCTCACCCTCCCCTTCCCCTAACCCATTCTAGGATAAAGAAAACAGCAATTCCTACAATTTAGATGAAACACACTAGTGAAAACATCATTAGGATTATTTTATGTATTAACTGTCTGTCCATAGAACCCTTTCCCCTAAATCTTACACTATTAACCTTTAAATACATTTCTGTAAAATGGAAGGGAGTGCAAACATATCTGTGATTGAATTGCACTTTTGTGCCATGTGCCATGCTAAACCTAATCATACTGTAAACCATGCTATACCATACTATACCATAATATGTGCATCATTTTAATTAATTTACACACTGTCCAGTTTTAACGAATGTATTGTGCTGCACTTATGGCAGACTTGCCTTCAGCTTTTAAGTGTTGGGATGTCAGGATGTTTGTCTCAGCCATAAGCAGGAAACAGTCACTCCGTTTCCTCAGCTGCTGTTCAAAGGCGATGCGAAAAGCATCTGCAACCATCAATGCCTCCTCTCTCCTTGAACATTGAATATCAAGCTGGAAACACACACATGCATCCACACACACATACACAGTTTCTAATTATAACAACCTTTTAAAATAAAAAAAATAAAAACATGATGTGTCTCATTGAATGTTCTTGTTAGTCAAATCTGCCCCATTTGTTTCAACACTGGCTGTCAAGAAATAATATTGAAACCTTGTAAGAACAGAACTCTTTTTTTATTACACCTGTGTAATCTCCAATGTGTTTCCTGTTTGTTCTGCTACAAAGAACTGTGATAGTGTTTCAGGTTTACCACACATCCTCATTCCCTCCTTGAATACCTGGACACCATCACCTAAAAAGTTCACTTGATCACCATCAGCGGATCTTTTTCTCCAGTTGAGATAAACAAGAGAGTTGATAAACAAGGGAATCAATCAAAACAAGGGCAAATTAGAAAATTGGTGTTCATCTTCTGAACATCAATGATGGTTAATGAGCCAAATTAAGTAGGATACACAGTTGACACACGTGAATAGTTTAGCAGTAATTTACCTCCTGTTGCAGCTGAATTAGTTGCTTTCTGCTGATAGCAGCAGTGCGACTGCATGGACAGGCTTCCACAACTCCAAGACACCGGCAGGCCCCCATGACTGCCAGCTAGAAAAAAAAAGAAAGAGAGAGAACCAAGACGACTGTTATGATCCTCCATTTTGTTCTTATGTGCACACACTTAAATATACACCACTACCTACTACAATAAGTGCAGTCTAGTGCCCTCTAGTGTATTTTTTTCTTGCTTCTTATAGTACAGACAATATGAGCCAAAATGTATGTGGCTTTGTGCAGTAAATGGCTCCTGTGTCTATAAATTAAGAAACTGTTGGAATGTATTAATTTTGTGATGCCCTGCAATGTATTAGGCATGAGATTATAGCTCCAGTCAAACCTGCCAGAGAGAGGGGTTTTAATGGAATGTCAGCTGCAAGTCATACAAGGCTTTTTTGTGAGCAGAGCTTCATGTAAGCTTCATAAACATGATGTGACACCTGTGTTATTACCAGCAAAATGTGCTTAGTGGTTTGGACATTACACAGTGTGAACTGACCTGAATGTGAAGTTACGTTGCTGTATTTGACTATACTAAATATCATATCATATCTGTGTGTGTGTGTGTGTGTGTGTGTGTGTGTGTGTGTGTGTGTGCGCATGTGTGTGTGCATGCACAATTTTGATTGGTGCTCTCTCACCTCCAGAACACTTGTGTCTCTCTCTACGCTGTATTGAGGTTTAGTTTCTTGATAAGCTCTCTGCTCCCTCACATTCAACATCGACAGAAGCTCCAAGCACTGCCGACTTAGATCTGTAAACACAAACACATAATGTTCATGATGATAACAGAATAAATGCCATGTGCTGGGAGCACAAGATCTATGCAGAAGTATGGAAATGTGTTTTTGAGTTGGAGTTCGGAGCTGCATTATATGTAATAACTTGACTCTCCAGACAGATCCACTTCACTACACAAATGGAGATGATATCTCTGCAGACATGTCTGGGTCACCTCAAAATCATTCTACATTATTCAATATTTACCAGAATTTTCTGCTCTGAGCTCCTGGATCTCATTCTCTCTTTCCTGCAGGTTGTCGGTCAGAGCCTTGTTCTCACTCAAAATTCTGATTAGAACAACAACAACAATAATGTTACAATCCAAACAGTAAAAATACCACACACAGACATGAGATTGGATGAGAAAGTCAAACCCATTGTATTTCTGCTCCCAGGATTGTTCAGACTTCTTCATTTGGACCTGGCTGAAGCTGAGCTCCCACTGCAGACTGTTGACCTCCTGTAGGAGATCACGATTGGTATATTTGACTTACTTTTGGATAGATAGATATATAGGTGGATAGATGGATGGATGGATTGATGGATGGATAGATACATAGATACATAGATACATAGATACATAGATACAATAGAAATTGCTGGCAAGTTTAAGTTGAGTTTTGAATTTGTTTGTGGGGGAGACCATGGTGGCATCTTCTATAATTTTATGGCCTTTTACACCATCTGTCATTGTCCTCCAAACGTCAAACTGTGTGCTTACACTCGTATTTGAACATTAGCTGAGAAAGTTTGGGTTAAGAAGAGTCAAATGCTAATTTGAAGTCCCATTTGACAAAATTCCAGGTTTGTATCAGAACGTTGAATATAGCTGGTGCCATGTACAAACAGCAAGGCACTGGACTCAGTTCTAGCCTTTAACTAGTCCATGGTGA